ATTGTGGTAAACTGTGGTCAATGACATGAGACAAAGTATATGTGAACTGCTGTATGGAAAGTGAATTTGCTCTGTAAATCTTCACCCAAATCACAATAAATTAAAAAAAAAAAAAATTACTGATGGTAAACAATGCAAGCAAGAAAAAAGTGGAGTAGCGTGTTTAATGTAACAAAACAAAACAAAAAAATAGTCAATATAGTATTCTAGACCCAGTGATAACTTTCAAAAATGAAGGTGAAATAAAGACATTTGCAGACATACAAAAACTGAAAGGATCATCACTAGTGCATTTATAATACAAGAAATGTAGAAGTCCAGGCAGAACATCTGCATCTACATGAAATATGAAGAGCATCAGATATGGTTTATTACATAGGTAAATCTGTATTTTTCTTATTTAAATATGTATTTGAAGATAATTGACCATTAAAAAATTAATAATAACAATGTAGTTCAGGGAATATGCCATATATAAAAGTAACATGCACAATAACAATGGCACAAGACTGAGACAGGAGAAATGAAAGTATACTATTGAAAGGTTGTTAAGTTACATGTGAAGTACTTTAGTAACACTAGAAAGAAAGAAAGAAACTTAATGCCATCGAGTAGATTCCAACACATAGCAGCACCCACTGGGTTTCCAAGGCAGTAAATCTTTATGGAAGTAGATTGCCCCATCTTCTTTTTACAGAGCAGCTGGTAAGTTTGATCCTCCAACCTTCTGGTTAGCAATCAAATGCTGTAGACACTGCACCACTAGAGATCCTTTAATCACTTGAAAGTAGATTGCAATAAGCTAAATGCTATTATTACAAACTCTAAAGCAACTACTTAAATAACACAAGAGAAGTATAGCTGCAATGCAAGCAAAGGAGTTGAAACAGAATCAAAAATACTAAAGTAATCCAAAAAAGGCAGAAAAAAGAAACAAATACAAATGAATCAAACAGAAAACAAATAGCAAGATCATAAACTGGCATAATTCCTAAGGCATCTGACCGCTAATCAGAAGGCTGGTGGTTCAAACCCACCAGTAAGTCCCCAGAAGAAAGGTTGAGCAATCTACTTCTGTAGTGATACTGCCTCGGAAACCCAAGGAGGGGTCACTATGAGTTGGACTTGATGGCACATAACAACAACAACAACAACAACATGACACCTGTGAATTATTGCAATGACTGAAAGCACCATGAGACAGTGTGAATAATCTGAAGTCCTCGCATTCTAACGCAAGAAGCAGAAACTTTTGTTTTCCAGAAGCCTGATTTATCCTGATCACAAGAACCTCCTAAAGATTAAGGAGCAGAATTAGCTCAAGGAAGATCATTTCCTTAATGTGGATTTCAGATACTTTGTAGGTGAAACTCACTAAACTCTTCATTTGTTCTGGGAGGCAACTTGTTGCAAACTGGTACCACAAACTAGAGCTGCAGACTCATTTCTCACTGATACCCAATGAAAAGGATCAACAAAGAAAGTGTGGTTGTTCTTTCTTTACCTGGTGCTATGGATACTGGCCAGAGGGGCCATGGGCTTTCTGCACCTCTGACGTTCCAAGCAAAAAACCTCGTAACTGGGACCCTCATTACAAACACACAATTTCTAACACTGTTATAGGATTAATTAAAAGTGCCTTTTCCTAAGGAATGGGGGGAAGTAAAAAAAAATCCATTCATAAATATTATTTATGATTCACATACTTCAGTAGCAGAAGAAAAAAATCTATATCATAAGAAAGTACAATACAGTCTCTTGTATACTATGAAAAATCTGTTGATTTAGCTTATCTTTGTTTTAAACTTTTTAGTAAAGAAAGAAAAAAACTTCACTCTAATAATATTGGCTAGGATACCTTTAACTGAGTCTCTTAAGTTCTAAGTGTTTCATCCTTTAAAATCAGGGTTTAGTGTGGAAGGCAGGAGACTTACCTTAAAGGAGTGGTAGAAAGAACCCCACTCCTCGTCCTCTACCACTTCAGTGGAAGTCACTGTTTTGATGCAGGCAGCTGGGGAAGGATCCAACATCTGTGTGGTCCCGCTGGAATTGAGGCTGCCCTCTGTGAGGTTGGCTGGCATGGCTCAGTTGGAGTTGAGCCTCGCTGTCCCTGTCCTTGCAGCCAAATAACAGAGGTCAGCTTATCTCCTGAGAGCCGGGCAACAGGCTGCAGCACTCGCTCCCAAGGCTTCCTGCTGGAGCTGGGCTGAGCAGAGGCACGCAGAGCCCTCCCTGAGCCCACCTCATTGAAGAGCTCTGCCTGACGACAGGGAGGATCCACGTGCTGCTTGCTCTTTCCTTTGCAGTTATGATCCAATAGCCAGCATAGTCCCACTCAGGGTTGGGGCCTCACTCTGGGATCAGCTGGAGCCCCCAGCAGCAATCTCCATAGCCCCTGGAGCCCCTCCATAGCCTCCTTTTAGTGTGTCTCTGACCAGTTGTGCTTTCCATAACTTTCATAATGGACCCTCAGTTCTGTTTGAGCTTCAAAAATACAGGAATTTGTACTAATCAGAGGGTCAATTAACTCAGGTCATATTGCACTTCTGAAAATCGAATCGTAATTATGCATTTGTTACAGCTGAGGTTGTCATCTGACATAGAATCTGCACCCAGCTGTACACTGAATAGTCTGCACTGAGTAGTGTGCACATTATTTTGGAAAACATCTGCAACTAGGACATTGGGACTTCACACACATGGTTCAACTGCAGGCATCCATAGAACAGTTTACAGAAATGCCTGGGGGAGGGGTCTGTGTTATGTCTTGGAGTTGTGCCTGGTGGAAATTCCCATCACTTTGAGTATATTTGCCTCCATTGCTGCCCAGGAGCATGCTGAGGTTGAGGGCCAGATGAATGTAATTGCAGTATCCTTGGCATCAAAGACGGGTGGGCAAGAATAAAAATGGCTGCTCCAATCTCACAAAGAAAGCTCACAAAGCATATTTACAAATGCTGTGATTTAATTTACAAAACAAATCAGTGAGGTCAACAGGGAAGATATTTTTATGATTCCTTCTGCCTTGGAAACCCAAGGAGGGATCGCTATGAGTCACAATCAACTTGATGGCAGTGAGCTTGGTTTTGTTTTTTTACACTAAAAGAGACTGGCTCTGAGAGGTGAAATGACTTGCCCAAGATCCCACATATGACGATGGAAATAAGATGAATACTCATCCCTTCAGAAATCCCTAGGTAGTGGTATAATTTCATTTAGAACAGACTGGTTTGCATTAAATCCTAAATGCCTACATGGGTATGAAGTTAACATAAATAGAGGTGGTAGGCCTGGTGAAAAACAATAGGACTAAGCTGTTTATTGTATTTCAAGAAAGAATAATAACTTATTACATACATTGAAAACACTCTGTGAGCCAAATAAACATGCCCACCCATCTGTTTTTGACATCTGGTATAAGGTTTAGTATAATCATAAAAAGACTGCAGCCCCTCTAGGTGACCTCCTGGGAAAGCTTTGGCATAATCCATCCGGCCCTAGGAAGAAGAGTACAGTATGTTACAAGATGTCTATAAAGAAGAGAGTGCAAACAGGAGGGAGGTGACCAGAAAACTAGATAAGTTGTGACTCTTAGGGAAAGGGTAACAACATGACAACCCAATAGAAAAATGGGGAAAGAATACTCCAACTAGCAAATAAACGTGAAATGATGTTCAACCATAGTAAGTAAGGAAAAGCAACTTAAAACATTAAGAAAGCATTTTTACCTATTGTTGTTTTTAGGTGCTGTCAGGTCCATTCTGACTCACAGTGACCCTGTGAGCAACAGAATGAAACATTGCCTTGTCCTATGCCAGCCTCACAATTTTTACCTATTAGCAGATGAAAAATAGAGTATGGCTACCTCTAATGTTGATAAAGATGAGGAGAAATGGGTATACTTTTTCACTTCTGGTATGAGGGTTAGTTGACATTGTCACTTTGAAGATAAAATTGGCATTATCTAGTAAAGTTGAAATTACATCTCCTAATACAGTATTCCGGGAGCTCTGGTAGCATAGTGGCTAAGACACTTGCCTGCTAACCAGACGGCTGGCGGTTCAAACCCACCAGCCACTCCCCGGAAGGAAGGTTGGGCAATCCTACTTCCATAGTGATACTGCCTCGGAAACCCAAGGAGGGGTCGCTATGAGTCGGGGCCGACTCGACGGCACATAACAACAACAACAACAATACAGTATTCCACTTCTGCAGTGCTGACAGATTTCCATCTCTTTATCTGGGTTACTTATGTGTGCTCTGTTTAGAGAAATTCATTGTGCTACACACATAAATATATGTGCCTCTCCATAGAAATGTTTTATTTCAATAAAAGGTTTATAAAAAACAAAAAAAACCCAAACTCACTGCCATCAAGTCAGTTCCAACTCACAGTGACCCCCTCCTTGGGACTCTGAGGCAGTATCTCTATGGAAGTAGATTGCCCAGTCTTCCTTCTGAGGAGTGGCTGGTGGGTGTGAACTGCCAGCCTTCTGGTTAGCAGTCAAATGCTTTAGGCACTATGCCACTAGAGCTCCCAAAAATGTTTATATACATGTGCAAAACTTCTGGAGGCAAAGGGTGCTGGAGAAGCTGGTTGGGTTGCAGTGTTGTAGGTATGGAAAGAGTGAAAATGGTGATGTTATGGACAGGGCACCACCACTCATCTCTGTTTGTCATACAGCAGTGGCTTGTGTGTTGTTGTGGTGCTGGAAGCTATGCCACTGGCATTTCAAATACCAGCAGGGCTACCCTTGGTAGAAAGATTCAGTGGAGGTTCCAGACTAAGACAGACTAGGAAGAAGGACGTGGCCAGGTCCACTTCTGAAAAGAATTGGTCCCTGAAAACCTTGTGGGAAACAGTGTCTAATATAGTGCCAGAAGATGAGCCTCTCAGATTGGAAGGCACTCAAACTACAACTGGGGAAGGATTGCTTTGAGTCGGAACCAACTTGATGGCACCTTACAACAACATGGACAGGGCATAGGTTGATTTTTTCTGCTTGTGCCTTTTTCTTTCCACTCTTGGTCCAATGGAACATTGCTATAACTGCATTATATACTTATTCATACATACAAGGAGACATGAAACATGATTCTTTTATAACATTATTTAGAAACAAATCTCAAACAACTAAATATTCATAGTGAAGAAGTTGATGAGAACTCTAAGCTGGATACTACCCAATTATACATCAACAGTAGACTGGATAAATACTTTGTTGTTTAGTTACACATGGAATAAATACTGTGCAACAATGAGAATGAATCATTTACAACGAGACATAGCATTATTGGATGAAACTTATAAACATAATATTTAGCAAAGTAATATTTGTTTCATTTACATCAAGTATAACTATTTATAGTGCAATACTATACAGTAGTTGAAAGGGATAGTTGTAGACAAGATGGCAAACTAACATGGCTGCTAGCTCTTCTGAATTCAACCTTAGAGACTCCACAAAAATGAGAAGGACATTGATCGATCACAGAACTTAGCATATAACAACGAGACACCCACTTGAATGGCCAAAATGATAAAGCTGGGAAATATCAAGTGTTGGTAAGGATATGGAGGAAGAAAAACTCTCATGTTCTACCTTAGAAGTGCAAATTGGTACAAGGACTTTGGAAAACTGTTTGGCAGTATTATTTAAAGCTGAATATAGGCATACATTTCATTACTGGCCATTTCGCTGCTAGGAAAATACCCAATGCAAATGAGTACATATATAAACCAAAAAATGCGAAGATGAATATAGCATTCTATTTATAATTGTCCCCTATTGGAAACTATAAATGCTCATCAATCATAAAATGGATAAATAAATGTTGCTATAGCCACACAATAAAAACTCTACATTAATGAGAATGAATGATCTACCACTATAAGTAGCAACTTGGATGAATCTCATAATAATAATTTTGAGTTATAGAGAAGTCAGACACAAAAGAATGCATATTGTTTAATTTCATTTACATAAAATTAAAATATGATTGATATTGTGAGGGAATAAGAGAGAAGAAACCCTCTGGTGGTTAGTGACTTGAATGGGTCAGGAGGGGAGACATCTGGGATGTGGCAAAACATTGTTTCTTCGTCAGGATGATGGTTACATAAGGGTGCTCCACTTGTGAAAATTCATTGAGCTGTATACATTTACTTACATGTTGTGTACTTTTCTGTATGTACTTTATGTTGCTGTTGTTATTAGATGTTGAGTCATCTCCGACTCATAGTGATCCAATGCACAGCAGGACAAAACACTGCCCAGTCCCATGCCAGCTCCACAATTCTTGTTATACTTGAGCCCATCACTGCAGCCACTGTGTAAATCCATCTCACTGAGGACATTTCCCTTTTTCGTCGACCTTCCACCTTACCAAGCATGACATCCTTCAGGGAATGGTCCACTCTGATAACCATCTGATGACCAAAATAGGTGAGTCAAAGTCTGGCCACTCTCACTTCCCAGGAGCATTCCAGCTGCATTTCCTTCAGCACAGATTTGTTAGTTCTTTTAGCAATCCATGATACTTTCAGTGTTCTTTGCCAACACCACAATTCGAAAGCATCAATTCTTTTTCAGTCTTCCTTATTCATTGTCCAACTCTCACATGCATATGAGGCAATTGAAAATACCATGGCTTAGGTCAGGCACACTCTTGTCCTCAAGGAGACATCTTTGCTCTTCAGCATTTGAAAGTGGTCCCTTGCAGCCAATTTTTCCAGTGCTATACGTTGTCTGATGTCTTGACTACTGCTTCCATTGGTGTTGATTGTAGAACCAAGTACTATGAAATCCTTAACAACTTCAATCTTTTCGCCATCCACCATGACCCTGTTTATTGGACCAGTTGTGAGGATTTTTTTCTTTATACTGAGATTAATCCATACTGCAGACTGTATTCTTCAATCTTCATCAGTAAGTGCTTCAAGTCATCCTTACTTTCAGCAAGCAAAGTTGTATCACCAGCTTATCATAGGTTGTTAATGATTCTTCCTCCAATCCTAATGCCATGTTCTTCTTCATATAGTCCAGCTTCTCAGATTATTTGCTCAGCATATATAGATTGAATAAGTATGGTGAAAGGATACAGCCCTGACAC